GCCTGTGGACATAAACTTTAGTTTGCTTTGTGTTAGTAAGGATTGAAGAAATGCTGGGAAGCTAAAATCAGCTTGCTCTCTCCCTCCCTCCTTCCCTCCCTCCTTTCTCTCTTCTCTCTCTCTCTCTCTCGCTCTCTCTCTCTCTCTCTCTCTCTCTCTCTCTCTCTCTCTCTCTCTCTCTCTCTCTCTCTCTCTCTCTCTCTCCATGCACGTTCATGAGTGTGTTTGTGAGTGTGGTGTGGTGTGTGTGTGAAGGTTATGTAGCTGGGGAATAGAAAGGCAATGAAGCTGGGCACATTTGCAAGGGAAAGGGGAATTGATTTTCAGGTTGTGGAGGGAGAAAAGGTAGTATTGTCATACCAGAGAAAGTTCAGCGCTAAAGGAGAATGGAAATAATAGATCGCTCTGCCTAAGCCATGAAAAACTCACATAACTCGAAAGTACGGACCACCTTAAATTGTATGACGACAGGTTGCCATGGAAATGGTTTTACGCTACAAGAGGGGGATGAGCCTGGGAGGAAGGGAGTCTGTGGAGTGAGTGAGTGGGACTAGAGGGGTGTGTTGGGGAAGTCATTTCAGCACCTAGTAACCCTTGGACAGCAACAGTCTTGCCAGCTGTTTGCAGGAGCTTGCTGTCTGTGCTCTTTTCCTGAAGCATTCTTTCTCACTCCCTTCTTCCCTCATTTCTCCTTGTCTTTTGCAAATTTTTTGATTTCTTTCAGTTTCTTTCTTTAACACACCCGCCCCCTGTTTTCTCCTGCGTGCTTACGAGCAGACTTCTTCAGAAGCCTCACTCTAGCACCCCTCCTCTTCCAGTTGCTCCTTGCCTGGTTGGATTTGAAGAGATCAGCAGTTGGTGAAGTGAGTTCTAAGGGCTGAGGGGGTATGGAGAGGGGCTGGGGAGAGTCACGAACAGAGGATTTTGTTATGTGTTTAAGAGGCTTTTTGTTTTGTTTTGTTTTGTTTTGTTGGACTAATCTGGTAAGTTCCTACTGCTTCTTTGGATAGTATTTGTGAGTTATGTGGAGCATGTGTGTGCTGTTGTCTATAATTCTGGAGTCCTCTTCTGTCTTTATACAGCCTCTAGTCCCTAAGTCCTGACAAACATATACATAAGAGGAATTAGAGTTCTTAAATGATTTGGTAAATGCTTAGTGGGCTTCTGGATTTATTATGAGTGTCGTTTTAGTTAAAAAGCATTCAGTACAGAGAACATGATATTTTGTCTCATTAGTAGCTTTGGCTGCTGTTCAGGCAGCTCTTTGCACTTTAGAGACTTCTCACTAGTGCCGTAGTTATGAATTCCACTGAAAGCAAATTGGAGTTGTATCTTACCAGTTTGTCTCTCTAAATTCTGCAGCTATTTCCAGAGGCAACAACTCTATTGGGTAATATCAGAAACAAAAGTATGTCAAAAGTTGCTATTGAATTTTCATAGTGATCACCATCTACTAGATAATACAAGAGGAAGAAAAATGCTATAATGTCACCTCCTTATACTCTTCACTGTGAAGGATTTATGCTAACCCTGAAAGGAAGCAGGGAATGATTTGCTCGGAAGTGCACACTTTTAACATTTTAAAGCAACAGATAGCAACTAAATCACAATAAAAATAAGCATAAGAAATGCATGCATGTGTGTTAGGCAAGAAAAGGAAGTGATACAGTTTTTGTTGGTTTGTTTTCTGGAATTAAAGGCTCCACCTGTTGTAGAGGCATTCCTTTTTGAGTCCCATGCCTTTAAATCCAAATATGTTCTTTTGTTCCTGCCCAATGTTTTTCTTTCTTAGGTAAATAGGTGCCTGGCATGTTTCTTAATTCTTCTAATACACATTTCACCTAAGCCTTTTCACTCAAAGGCCTTGCAGCATGATTCCTCCTACATAAAGAAATTTTGAGAAGTTTCTTCTCTGTTCATTAGTGATAGGATATTGGTTATTTGTATAAATATATCCAGTGATAATACTTTGCTTCTTTAAGCAAGAAGTGGGCTTCAGCATAATATTTGAAAAGAGATGATCATAAAGTAAAGTACAGACAAATATACAAATAGTATTAGAATGGAAAATACATTACTGTGTTAGAATGGAAAATACATTACTGTGTTATTATATGCCTAAATAGAATTAAAGCCTTTAACAATACCATCATCTTTTTGGCACAACTGATGTTGTCCTTTGTCCAGCATGACCCTAACTCTAATTATAAGCCTTGTTTTTCCTTTTTGAGATCTATGTCATTTCTAGTAGTTTAAAATGTACATAAATAACTTCATTCACAATATAATTGAAGATCTTGATTTTTAAACACTAAGCAATTTAAAGTTAAAACCCATCATACAAGCTTCACAGTTATCCTAATGTACATTTGTTAGTAATTAGAAATTTTGAAAATGACTATCCATTTCATTAAGACATCCAGGACAAATGGATTGTTGTAACTGTTTTTGGGATATGGACCATATTGAAACTAAAATGAGTTTGTGGAGTGGCCTAAATTGAAATTATTTTAATATAAGTATTTATGTAATTTCACTTTTCAGAACCAAATTTGGAAATTACTAGTGCCAAAAGTGGACACTATTGAGAACATCCATGTGAACCTTTAAAAAAGACTTATAACATCAACAGGGATTTATGGCATAAGTGACATAGTATTTTTTATGTCACTATTCTTCTAAATCCTGATTATATTAAAATTTCATGTACACAATATTAAAAGCTTAATATAAGCCTACAAATAGCTTAACCTTACTGTGAGTTCCTCATGCTTACTTAAATATATTTGGCTGTTGAAGTATTACACATCTGTATTACACTTCCAAATTCAACAATGCATAAAAATATTTGAACATGTTAATGACCTTTTTAAAAAGTTTATAGTTTTTAATTAAAATCTCTATCATTTGCTATATTTAACCAGAAAAAGGTTTTAGGGTTACTTCTTATTAGTTTTTAATTCAGTGAGCTAACAGAAAAAAACTGCAAGAATGAAGAAACTAATTTGATTTTTATCATCTAACCAGACTATAAAATATCCATCTGTGGAAATAAAACTTGTAAACACTTTGTAATTATGTCTTTTATAAACATCTGTATACATTGTCAACAGAGCATTACTATCTTTTAGATAACAGAGATCCTTTAAATATAATACATGTATAGTTGAACTACAGACACAAACATTTCTGCTTTATTTGTAAGCAAAACCTACTTTGAGATTAGTAGAGGAAAGAAATAATGAATTTAATTTAAAGTAAAAATTAGTTCTTTAGCTATCTTAATTTTCTCTCTCTTGGGGTGTGTGTGTGTGTGTGTGTGTGTGTGTGTGTGTGTGTGTGTGTGTGTGTGTTAGACTCTAGGATAACTTAATTATAACAGTCATAATGGCCCCAGAAAATTGGTCTGTTTTGGTGTCGCAACTAAGACTCTTCATTTAAATTTCATTTTTATGTGTATGAATGTTCTGCCTGCGTGTATGTCTATGTGCCATATTCATGCTGGGTGGCCACAGAATCCAGAAGTGTGTCAGATCCCCTAGGATTGAAATTACAGATAGATGTGAGCCACCGTATAGCGGCTAAGAATGAAACACTGGTTCCCTGGAAGAGTAAACACTGCTATTAACTGCTGAACTGTTACTCTAGCCCTGAATCTTCATTTCAGGATGGTCTAAGTGTAATCTGAACTAGTCTATGGAGTCATATCTGTCTTTTTGAAAAGACATGCATTATGATTTGTTGGACATTCTAAGCATTATGCTGGTGCTATATAGGCATATAAAGTAGATACCCAGATAAGAAAATATGCATAATTACCTTGGTATAACTTAACTGGACTACTAGAGAATTCTTTGGAGTGTTGAAAGCCACTGCAAATAGCAATGACTTTTACAAGGCAAATTAGATTTATGTTCCTTTTTTGTTGATTCCCTTCACATTAATATTATGGAGACTGCATATTTAAATCAAACAACTAAAGTACCATAGTTCTCTGCTAGAACAGGGATCACTTTTACGATATTTAAAACAACTCACTTGCTTTGATATGTCCTACTTATACTAATTTCAGTACCCTTGTTTGAGGTGTTAAAAAGGAAAATGAAGTCAAGTGTGATGGTTAAAATAATCTGATTGAGTTCCTCTTATTCTTATATAGCTATTACACCATTTTATTCTCATAATATTTGATATCCTTGACTACTACATTAAAAGAATATGTTTTGAGAAATCACATATTTGGCATTACAAACAATTTTGGAGGGGAATATGATAAACAGTACACATCTTACATTTTCCTCATTGATTCCAACACAATGTAGGACCACAACCAGATAGCACGTCTTTCTGACCTTTGTCTAGCTTAGTAATTTCAGGTGTCACACAATTAATATTATATTAACTATTCTTTTAACCTTTAGTCAAATATGAGTTGGAGTTGTCTCTTTATTTTGTTTTTGCAGTGGTGGGAATTTATAGCACCTTGCATATGCCAAGCATGCAGTCTACCATTGAGGCACATACCTAGCCACTTAGAGATATCTATGTTAAAATTATATGTCAGCCTTTACTTTTAGCAGAGCAACAACACTAAAAGTGATTTTCTTGAGATTATTATCACTTTCTCATGATGGCTTTTGATGTTCTTTTTATTAATATTAACCAGGGTAGTCTATTTACTGCTTTAATCATTATACCATGAAAATACCAAGTCAATCTGTGTTTTCATCATGAGATAAACATGATTTTCTTCTTGAAATGAGTACTTTCATTTTTAAATAGATAATTTTCAGTTTTGGATAAACTATATTTTAATTAAGTACACCAGTTTGATTTCTCATAGACCTCAATCTTCTCTTTAGAAACAGATTTAGTATATGAAGTAAAATGTACAATACCTCTTTCTAGTAAGTAAATAATAAATGATACTTCATACTTCTTTGAATCTATGAAAAATGGTGCATAGTGTGACTAATGTCCATTTGTTTATTTAACTATAGGTGGATACCAATCTTGAAGTTTTCCAAAATAGGAGATATCTACTTCTACATATAAGCATTTACTATAAGGTAACTAGCAACATTTGTATCTTAGAAACATTACATAAGTTTTAGACTTAACATATAGTTGGAAAAGGAATATTGGACTATTAGAATGCTTATAAAATCCTAATTTAAAAGAACATTTTCTTGGGATGGAATTCTGTTATATTCATTGCAATTTTTATGTTTATTTTGTGGTGACAAGAGGTCAATATGAAGTGTCTTTCTCACTTTCTCCATCTAATCTTTTGAGACAGGGTTTTCAGCTTGCCATTTCTGCTACACTGAGTGGCTAGTGAGCTTTTGAGAGTCCATGTGTTTCCACCTCCCAAGCCCCAGGATTATAGACATGTGCTGCCATGCCTGGTTTTTATGTGGGTGCTGGGGATCCTAACTCAGATCCTCATGTTTACACTGTAGTTTACCAAGTTAGCCATAGCCCAGCCTAGCCCTCAGTAGTTTTTTATGCAATGAAAGTTGCCAAGTCATGTCTTATATCAGTTGACAGTAATGATCCTTGATCATTTCTTCTAAGTATCCTTTAGTGATATCATTCTTAAAGTATAGCTGTGTCAACACCCTCGAGAAGTTGTTTAAATACATATATTCAGGTTCCTGTTTGACATACTTATTAAGAAACTCTAGTCTGGCGTTGGTGGCACACGCCTTTAATCCCAGCACTCGGGAGGCAGAGGCAGGCAGATCTCTGTGAGTTCGAGGCCAACCTGGTCTCCAGAGTGAGTGCCAGGATAGGCTCCAAAGCTACACAGAGAAACTCTGTCTAGAAAAACAAAAAAAAGACACTCTAGAAACAGGACAAAGAAATATTTCACAAACCCTCTATGTAATGATGCATCCTGAAAGTTAAGAACATCTATTTCAGAGCAATTGTTTTACCATCATTACTTTAATGTATATGTCTATATATGTATGCATACAGTTTGTAAGAATATGATCAGGAATATCAGATTATTCATGTGTAACATGTATCAAAATATTTTTTGTTGTTTTTCTTTAGACTGGTTGCCTGATGACTTTCCTCCATGAGATGAAAATTCAAATCTTGGCTGTACTATCAACTGTGTCACCATATTGACTATATAGAGTTCTTGAAAGTTATCTTTGCAATGTAAGTTATAAGTCATTCTTCCTTCTCTTTGAAGATGAACTTCCAATATTAATAGAGTCAGAAAATTATCAGTGAGTTTCACTTTAATACTGTGGTCAGAAGGATAATAAGTGTGTGATAAGGAAAACGTCCTGATTTATTTATTTTACAAATGAACGTTTCTGACCCTTTGTGAGATCTTGCCAATTCATTTGCCTTATATTTGCATTCTAGATGAATTTAACAAATTAAATAATGGAAACAACTTAGTTTTGATTTCAATGTCTATGCTGGAGTCATATGTGTTATTATATCATATTTACTATAGACATACTAATGTTATTTAAAGAACAATAGGACACCTATTAGCTTACAGGATAAATTGGAAGAAGTCAGAGACTCAGAACAAGATCTTAAGGAATGGATTAATATGAACCTCACATTTTAAGGACAATTAGAAATTTCAGCTTTTGCACTTATGTTCAGGCTTATGAGGCAAAATTTTAAAGGAGTTTTGCCTTGAATTTGGACATTCAGCCCATGAAAATATATGTTTGTACTTCATGTTCAAAAAGCACACATTTTGTAGCTGACAGCTATGTTGTAAACATTGTACAATAATCTATGTGGATAGATTTTGTACTTCTAACTTCATGATGATAGGCACCCAAAGAGTTGTGCTTTCTGGTACAGCAAATTTTGTTTCCTAAAAGATTGTTTATTGTTTTGTATTTGATATATGGGTAATTAACTATGTTATATGAAAATATGACTATTAAATTACATATGATAAGTCCTATAATTTCGTGTTATAGGTATTTGTCAGAAGATTAAAATAGATAATAGTTATGTGAAGGTATAACATTATAGCCAAATGTTGAATTGTCCATGTTAATAGAGATGAGCATTTGAATAATCATTATAGATTCCATATTAATGAAAATCACTTTTATCTTTTCCATCATGTTACACTTTACTGAATTTTCTGTGTATATATGTTGTATATGTATCATATATATATATATATACACATATATATATAATTTTATATGTATGATATTTGGTGGTAATTATGATGTTTTAAAATTTCCAATTCATATTTCTTGAACATATAACTTAAATATAGGTGACCAGAAAATGGTACTTTAAAATTCTTCAGTTAGTAATAATGTGATAATTTAATAAAAAGTAGAGTTTGTCTAAGATGGAAGTTTATTTATTTGTAGCAAGAGAATGCTAAAATAAAAATCTGAACTGGCTATTTAAAAATATCATTTAGATAGTTGAACCATATACTGATCAATGACAAAATATCCTCACATCCTAGAAAATTGACTTCATGTGTTTATATTTAACAAATGATAATGATAAAATATTATACATGCACATATAAACTTAAATATACATATGTATAAGCATACATTTTCTTAAATCTGCAAGCTAGTCTAGGTACTAGAAGACTTAGAATCATTAGCATAGGTGTCAAGTGAAAAATAGAATGCTGTACACTGATGAACAGTTTCTCTATACCACATTTCTAGCATAAAGTGAGAAGAAATGTTAATTTTCTTTGTTTTCTTTGCAAGATCTTAGAATGATTTTGTCTGAGAAACAAAATGTTTTTCCATCCCTTTCTCCTGTAATATCTATGTGTAAATCTAGTATATTAAATATCTCTTCCTTGGTTGTTTTATGTTAAAGATACCTCTTTGATCAGTTTCTCATTTATTCTTACAGCCAAAGGCTATCTCCATATAAAGTTCCTATGGACTTCTATATGGAAAATAATTTCTAATACTTAAGAAAGTATGTGTAGAAATATTAATATTCTCCTCTCACAGGTTATAAGCCTAGTATTAAGCCATTGAGCTTTTGTTTTATTTTACTAATATTACCAAAGGGAATTTTCCATAAATTAAATAGAAATTTCCATTTTCAAAAGAAATTTGAATATTAAGGAATAATTTTAAAGCTTATGACAGCTATTTAACTTAGTTTAAACTTATGCAATATTTATTAGATAAACTGTAGAACTCCCTAAAATTTTTACACAAGCCCAGATATTGTAATGAATTCTATTTTTCAGAGTGGTAGCTAGAACATTACAAATCATTAGCTTCAAATAATTCTGTGATAATGTTAGGAGAATTATTTTAAAGTAGTCTTACAGTTGCTTATCCAATGTTCTAGCAACCAATGCATATTCTTGTTCCTTATGTTATTTTTTCTCATTAGAGTAATCACAAAACCTGAAGTAAGTGAATTCATCCCACTCATGTTTAAAAGTTTGATTTGCATACTCACATAGTTGGTCAAACTGTACAAATGTTCACAATTAAAATGGCTTAAAAGAAAACAAGCAGCCCATTATAGAAACCATCATATTACATAATAAAATGCACATTGACTCTTTAATTCATATTTATGAGGATAATATATAGAGGACCATGAAAGGTTTAGTTTTCTCACAGACACAGATGTGCTGTTCCTTAATGACTGAACTGTCAAAGACTGTTCTACATATGCCAAATAAGATAATTTTATCGCTGTAGTTATACTTAAGATACATATGAATTCTAATTAGTTTTATTATTCTGATAGCTCCCTAAATATTCAAGATATGAATGCTATGTAAATATTCTTTAAGCGTAATATAGTTTTCTTTCATTCCTTGAATTCAGGAAATAATACCTAGTTCAAAGACTATGTCTATGATGGATGTCATTTACTTTCCTAGATTAATCTGTTTGAACAGTTTAATAGTATGTTAGAAGATCAATGTAATCACTTTAGATGATACAAAATTAGATATAGTTGCACTCATCATGTTTTTATAAAAATTTAAATTCTTGATGCTCCCCATTAGTAAAATTTTCTGAGCATATTATATCATATATTAGCTATCAGACAACTACACTAGATGTTTTTAAGTCTGACATTTTGTGCTTCTCTATAGTCTTGCTTAATTTTGCATGCAAATTTGGTATTTTCATCTTATATTTCCAAGTAACAGTCATTATTTCACCTGACATTAAATCACCTCTGGGCATATAGAATAATTCACAAATTAGATTCTATCCTTATTCTCAAAGGACCTAGAAGATTAATAATAGAAGATTTCCATAATGATATTTAAAATGAGAGCAATGAAATATACAAATCTCTATAGTGAATCTGTGAATGTTTTTATAATTAAAGAGTTAAAAGATATCATATTTTGTATTAGTTCTATTGTGTCCATGCTATTTCATCTCAACTTAAGATGTTGATAGCCTCAGTGTTGTACTATAATTATCCTATAAATAGTTTTTATATGACCAAATGCCATCAGTATTGTGTTTGTATGAGAATAGATTAGAAAAGAATACCATTTTTATTTTATGGGTTACATAATTGCATTTAATCCCTGAGAACCATGTTTGAACTTACTAACAAACCAAAGACTCGATGTAATCTTTGTGACGTTTATTTTTCCATATTTAAGAATTATTATATCCATTAATAACTTCCTAGTATTCACTTTGTTTTTATAGAGGGTAAATCTGTTTTGAACTTATTTCATATGTTTTTGGTGTAACATTAGCTTTAAGATGCTGACATTTTCTCTTAATATTTTCTTGCTCCTAGTTGATCTACTGACGTCACAATGTCAGAGATAAGATTCAGCAATCTCACTTGGGATCACATCATGACACTGGATCGTGTGTTAGGTGAAGTAATCCCAATTCATGGAAGGGGCAATTTCCCCACACTGGAGGTAAAACCAAAAGACATTGTTCATGTGGTGAAAGATGAACTCATAAAGCAGGGCATTATTGTTAAAGATACTAGACTGAATGGCTCTACAGCAAGTTACATACTCGCAAGCCATAATGGAATCAGCTATAAAGATCTGGACATTATTTTTGGTGTTGATCTACCAAGCGATCAAGAATTTCAGGTTGTTAAGGATGCAGTTTTAGGCTGTCTACTTGACTTTTTGCCAAAAGGTGTTAAAAAAGAAAAGATAACCCTAAAGACAATGAAAGAGGCATATGTGCAGAAAATGGTCAAAATTTGCAATAACCATGATCGTTGGAGTCTCATCTCTCTTTCAAATAACACTGGGAAGAATGTAGAACTAAAATTTGTCAATTCACTCAGACGGCAATTTGAATTTAGTGTAGATTCATTTCAGATTCTTTTGGATTCCATGTTAGATTTCTATAGTGTCCCCAATGCTAAGCTAACCAAAGAATCTTGTCCTGTTGTTGTGGCTGAAAGTATGTATGGGGATTTTCAGGAAGCAATGATACATTTGAAATACAAGCTTATATCTACCAGAAAACCTGAAGAGATCAGAGGTGGTGGTCTTTTAAAATACAGCAATTTGTTGGTTCGTGACTTCAAACCCGCTTGTCAAAAAGAAATTAAGACTCTGGAACGTTACATGTGTTCTAGATTTTTCATTGATTTTCCTGATGTAGCAGAACAGCAAAAGAAAATTGAATCATACCTCCGCAACCATTTCATAGGTGAAGAAAAAAGCAAGTATGACTACCTTATGACCTTGCATGGAGTTGTGAACCAAAGTACTGTCTGCCTCATGGGTTATGAAAGAAGGCAAACTCTTAACATGATCACCCTTTTGGCTTTGAAAGTACTTGGAGAACAGAATATATTACCCAGTACAGACAACGTAACTTGCTTCTACCAACCTGCTCCATACCTAGTTCTTGAGGGAGGGTATCCAAGTTATTATGTAGCATCAGGGCCACCACTTGTTTACTTCCAGCCATGCCCCACAGTGCGGCTTCCAGTACGGAATGGCATGATGTAAGAAATACACATACCAGAAGCATTGCTTAAGTGCATCTGAAAAGCAACTTTCAAATTCTGTAAAAGTTAAGATCTATTTTTCTGTAGTTGCCAACTACTTTTCACCAGTTGCAGCTTAGATAATCACAGTAGATAAGGTATCATCTCTAAACTCATTTTTAAAGTGATCTTCAAATGTTGTGACTGTAAAAACTTTCAAATGTAGTAGGATACTTGAAATGACTTTTCAAATCTTACTGACACTTAAAACAAAATTCGCTGTGACCAGTATGTTAAAGATGCCTACATCTTTGGCTGAAGTATAAAAAAAAAAAAACAAAAAAAAAACAAAAAAAAAACACTTCTCATGTTTTAAAAAGAAGATGCATAGTGAAGACATAGTATAACATCTTTATGTTCAACTAGTTCCTTATTACACTGTTTTTCCTTAGCAAATAAGAACATGAAATTTTAGTGCTTAAATTGAAAACATTTGATTTCAATGATAACAAATTTAAATGATGTTAAAATAGTGGATTGTAAACCCATGTTTCTCAATAAAATTTGTTGGGTTGAAATACCACTAAAGTTTGAAGGACCACTGGGGGGAAAATGTTCTGGAAAACATCAATTTATCCCTCCATATAGAAAGAATTTAGCTAGTCTGTGTAAAGAAACAAAGTCCTTTTATCTGAACAACCAATAAGTAACTTATAACAGAGGGGTTATTTTTGGCTTTAAATAAATTGAAAACAAAATTACCAACTTTAAATTTGAAACTATTTTATCATCATCTCCTAAGAAGAAACTAAATGGGACAAAAAAGAGAAATAGCACTACCAACAACAGAAAGTTAGAGATTTTAGCCATGACATTTAAGATTTTAGGCTTATTTGGTCAGTATCCGAATACATCTGGGTAATTTCATCATTAGTAATTGAAAGCAATTACCACCGATTGCAGCACTTTCACTTTTCCAACACCAAAGATTAGTTTGCAGTATGTTCCTCGATGTTAGATTTCAGTTAACACCATACTTTTTCAGTAATTGTTTATATTTCCCATTATTCTTAATATTTAGTCAGTACATCAGATATTTACTAACAAATATATGAATGGGATTTAAAATGAATTTCTGTCTTGATGAAAAGAGCCATTGATATATATCTGGCATGATAACAAAAGCTGCTCTGAGTGAATGTCAATAGACCATCAGAAAACTTAAGTATTTTTCCATCACAACATGAACCAGCAATCAATATCTGAGAATGTATTTAAATGTGTGTACCTACAGACTGTTTTGAAGTCTCTTCTTGGCATTATAGTATTGAATACAAAAGTACCACTTCTAGGGAATTTTCAAATAGCCAATATTTCTGACTTTTTGTACCCATAAATCACTGGCCATTGGGGTATTTAAATAATTACATATGTATTACAGAACCCCAAGGCTTTAAAATATTTGGATTTATCCCTTCGGGTGGAGAACAAATAAAAAAATATTAATGACAACACTAAGAAATTTTATCACAGTATCTGTCTACATCTTGTAATGGCTAAAGCATAAGGAGTCTTCTTTGTGTCCTACTACATACACTTTACTTTTCAGAAAGTGGGGAAAATAAACACATACACATACACACACACACACACACACACACACACACACACACACACGGAAATTACTCATCATGAAAAAAATTCTAAAAGATACAGTGAGCTTACTTGAGAATAAAAGAATTGTATAAGTGATTTCATTGCTGAAGGTTCAGTATTTTTCATAGTATTTGAGCAATAGATTGTGAAAGTGTTTGGGAGTATCTTATCATATCTGCCATCCCGTCGCTTCTTACCAGATTTCCTCCAAACTATTTCCTAGAAAGTAATTTTCCATATTATTATCCTAAAGCTTTAAATTGCAATGTATAGAGAATGACCTAAAAGGATCAGGCTTTCTCCTAACATTTTAAGTGTCTTGTTCTCTTGTGGAAAGAGCTCAACATATATGTCTAATTTTTTCTCAAGTTAGAGAATCCAAACATGTGGAATGGGAAGGATACCATAGAAGAAAATGCTTCAGCCTATTCCTCATGACTTTGTTTCTCTAAATACCATCACCACACTAAACCTTCCTTTATTGCCTACTAACCAGAAAAATATTATGTATTCAAAAGCATGACATCTCTCCAGGACTAATGTAACTGACTTAAAAAAGCAGTACTAATTCCTTCTGTTCATTAGTTTAATACATGGGATTGGTTTTTCTATGTAAGCAGAGGCCAGCCCTTTTTACCTGCAGTCACTCATAGAAGTCATTCAGTTATTTTAAAAACCTCTTCCAGCATATGTCATTCCATTACCAGGCATATACCAGCTTTCCCTTGACTGTTTTGACCAATGGTACAATCCAGGAGTTAAGTTTTATTCTGGAAGTTTTTATTTTTTGCCTCAGTAATCGAGCCAAAACCAAAAACAACAAAATAAGTAGTTCTAGCAATTCTATTAGCTGAATTAATTAGGTTTCAGCCACAGACACATATTCTTTTAAACTAGAATATTCTTAGAGTGCAAAAATGCCCACATATTACAAAAGATCTAATAGGGTTTGTAAAGCTTTTAAATTCAGAAGCAGTCTTCTGATAGTCACTACTCCACTGCTTTAAAATGATATCATACTAGGTGGAGTATACACTACTTGGAAACCAATTTTATGTCACTGTTATTTGAACATAGCACATTTTATTTTAGTGTGCTTTGATTATGGAAGGATGTGAGGTTATTTGAATGAATTGCACAAAACTCATTTTATACTTGTATACCTTGAAAGAACAACAGATATTTTATAGATGATTTTAATGCATGTGGTTTATATGCCCCCTCAAACAGACAGACCACCCTGTCCTATAAAAGGAGTGCCACATACATATACCTTTTACTGCCTCAGAATAAAATCATTAACTCCTGTAAATAAATAAAATGGCCTTCTTAAGAGAGATAGAATATCTAGTAGCTACTCCTCAAAATTATTCCAAATTTAAAATGATAGGTTAAATGTCAATCCAAGTAATTTGGTAATTTCTTACATAATTCTACACTAACATAAAATATAAATTAATCTCTCTAAAATGCTAACTAATCCATTACACATTATAGATATGACCCATACATATTCCTTAGGCTAAACTATGCAACCCAGAAGCCTGGGATTAGATTCTTGTTTAAGGGTTTGTAAAGACCTGAGGGTAGTGAGTAGGGGATGCTAGTCTCTGTGAAAATGACATTACAGAGTCGTATGAGGATACTAACTAATACACTACTTGACCTTTTATTTTTACTAGAGTAGAATAACTTGAAGGCTTTCCATATAAAATTAAAGCTTAATTCCAAAGCAAAAAGGTAATGATATTATCACATCCTTAACTTTTAAAATCAGAATTAAAAGGATATTCTTGTATATTTGTAATAGTCTCTTCCAAATGCTTTGAAAATTAAAAGTAATCTTAGTAAATCATTGATATATACATTTTCTATTATTAAAAGGTTTTACAGTTTTAGTGCCTTCCACCAATAATATTAGAGTCAATACAACCCATATTAGCAGGTATTTGAACAAATAAAACTTTAAATCATAATTTTATTTAAGCCATATGGGTGACTTTCTTGAGCATAAGTATTTCTTCATACCTGTCTCTTTTACAGATTTAAGAGTTTAAAGGCAATTTTGGTCCTCTGACTTCAAAATCAAATACTTTTTCAGGCAGTAAATTACAAATATCTGTTGTTCACTAACTATTGAAGTTATATTTCACTATTGAGTAAAATTCGTTCAGATTCAGCCTGTAAGTTAGGAATATAACTTAAAAGTGGTTCCAAGAGTAAAACTGTCTTCTTTGAAAAGCACTCAAATAAATCTTTAAAGTCAAAAGTGAGATACCCTTCTATAAAATACCATATCTGTGTACCAAAACAGAAACTATATACTTGAGGTTATATGATTTAGTCATGTTGAGGGCTATATTTAAACATGCTCTAGCCATAGAGCTATATTTATTTCAGTGGCTGTTTACTAAAACAAGGAGAATGCTTGTTGAAGAGATATACAACTCCTGGTAAATCTTGCCAACTTCCAAAATAAGGGAACATTTATACTTTTTGCTGGAGGAAGGTTTTTATGTTATCTTTAAAATATGTTTAACATAATAAAACATTAACAATATACTTATTAATAAAGTAGACATTGCTGAGACTTAAATCTGATTAGTATATGCATTTCCTCAAGCACATGTCTACTATTTACGGTGAAAAATTTTAATGTCTTCTAGCTTTTGGAAATTTATAGTACATTAGTATTATCTAGAGTCATCCTACTGAAGAGCAAGATTTTTAATTCATCCTGTTTATCTTCCATATTTTCCTCATTTACTAAAATGGCACGTCTATTTTTCTCAGTGGCAGGATAGAAAAATTAAAACTAATAGTAATTTTTTAGTGTTTATTTTACAAAAGATTAATTCCCAGTAAGGAGGGAATCTGGAACTGTTGACTTAATAAGACTATGGCCATAGATGTTCCATTCTAGAAAAGTAATTTCTGTGTATGCACTGTAGAGAACCCAAATTTAGGCTCACTGATTTTCATTATTTCTCATGCCTAGGGCACATTGAAAATCTTAAGTCAGAGTATGTGATTCTGGGAATATATGTTAACTTTATTGTTCTTGAAGAATCCTTGAATTCTAGGCAACAGTCAATGAAATCACTCTGCTTTTTCTGCCATTTTATGTCCAGATAGGTATAATTTATAAGCTAGCTTCTTTTTTAGTTGGACACATTTAGATCCATTGTGCACAATGTTTTATGATCTTGAACTATTGTGGAGAATTTTTTAAAGTAGTTGCATTAAAAATTAATGGTCAAAACACTAAAATTTTAAGATCAAAAGGCACTATTTAAAAGCATACAAGCTATACATTACATAAAAATTCCTATAGCACATTGCATTAAAAGTTAATTAATAGGCAACTTGCATTCAAAATTATGTTGCAGTATCACATAAACTGAATAATTTATTTCAGTACATTTTAGGTATTTCAGTTTGTAAGCTTAGCTACCCCAGTAAGATTAGAAACAACCCATTTCATTGGCTGAAATTTTCTGGTATCAACCCATAACTGTTGATAGTGTTGTCTTATGGTTACATTTGCCCTTTTATAGGTGGCTATGGAAAATCTGACTTCCTATTTCAATTAGGACCTCCTGCTATATTAAAGCAGGTCGCATATACCTTGAAAGGTACTGCCTCCTCACTGCCATTAGATTTAACTGGGTAGTGTTCTCTCTGGCAGCTTGTGACTTATTCTTTAAATTTCACCAAGTCCCTGTTCAGATGACATGAACTGAATGTCAGTAACTTTTTCCTTCTGGTTCAAAAAGTATTAGCAAGCACAAAGACACTTTTCTCTAAAGTACTTCTTTAGGCTAAGGGAATGTCTTCTCCTGCAAAATAAAGAAGGCAAATGCTTGGGTAATCCAAGCATTATTTATGTCAATAAATAATGAATGGTGGATGATTGATTAATCTGAGTTACTTTCTCATTCAGAATCCAAAATGACTACGGAATACAATAAAAATTTTACAATATAATTTCAGTAAATTCATCTGACAAGAAGTAAAGTTAAAACATCTCACTTCAAGTAGTAGTCATAAGCATTTCTCTTCAAGATATGTTTCAACATTCAGTTGATGTAAACCTAATAGTTTAACATGAAGGAAAATGTCAGTGATACTAATGATGGTCAGAGTGGGAAAATAAAAACATCTAACTGTAGTTTTCCAGGCCCACAAAAAGGTGGTTGCTAATAGCATTTTCTTCTCTATTATATCAAGAAAATGATCTTTTAAACACTGAAATATTTGTTTTGTTTTACGAAAGCAGGCAATATAAATATAGCTTTATAACGTTTAAGGTGCCTTTTCTATTTTTATAGCTCATATCACCACTTTTACTCTCTCAGTGCAAACATTTGAAGTGCTGTAGTAACTTACCATGATTCTGTAAATAAATTTTTTCAGAACTATTTCAAAAGTGTTGGATTTTAGTAGATGTCAGAAATGTCCAAAGTTTGGTGAACTGTGTAAATTTCTTTAATGTTGAATATATGTTAAATAAGAATAGTTTTTTTTTACAATGTTATACAATTTCAAAACTTGTATTACTTTTTTGGAAAATGTATTTTGCTGTTTGACAAAAAATTAATATATGAAGAGTGATGTATCTTTTGTGGAAACTATTTTTGATTCTGATAATACTATAAATGTATGTTTTATTGTTCACCATACAGCTCTTATACTTGTATCATTTACTTTGTGTGTTTGTAAAGATGGTGGAAATTTTAGTATAGATATTGTTATTAGATCAAAATGAGTTTTGAAATAAATGACCATCGAACATGCAGCAGTGCATCAGCTGCAAGATGGATACATGACTGTTATTTCAAATACAACCACATCTGCTACTTAAAAGTATTAAAAGTTTTAAAAGAACTGCCTTGAGTTTTTCCATAGGGTTTGTATAGAATCGCAACTTTCATTAAAGGTGGAAAATATGGAACACAAAAAGCTACTGACCTTAAGTATATTATGACTTTGTACAAGGAACCAAGGAAAAAAGCTTGGTTGCTTTTCCCAACCTTGATGCAGAGGGAGAATCTCAGTCCTATTTCAACTGTACATAAAAAAATTTATGACAAAATAACTGATAACACTATCCAATACAAAATACTATCCACAAACCTAATTATTTAAAGGGTATATATTTATTTATTTCCTTTAGCTTCATTGGATTTCCCCCCATTGGTAACTCTTATTTACAAGATCTTCCCTGATTCAAATTACTGTTATCTATAATACATTGAATAAGATCATAATTGACCGAAAATGAAATTAAATGCCAGAATCATTCAGATAAATGGGCCAAAATGATATAGCAGATATTGAATCTATACCCCTACACACAAAAAAAAACAAAACAAAAAACAAAAAAAAACCCACCAGACCTTTAGCAATTGGTGGAATTTTGGATTAAGTGATTAAATAATGAAAGGTGGTTTTAAATATAACCATCATTAAAATACTGAACCCTGATAAAAGTAATGTGAATAAGAAAAAAAAAAGATTACACCATAAGCCTGGTACTAGGGAATTTCCCAGGAATACACAAGGATGACCCCCGCTAAAACTCCTAGCAATAGTTTAGTGTGTGCCTGAACTGGCCTTCCCCTATAATCAGATTGGTGACTACCCTGTCATCATAGAACCTTCATCCGGTAACGATGGAAGCAGATGCAGAGATCCATAGCCAAGCATTGGCTGAGCTCCTAGAGTCCTGCTGTAGACAGAGAGAAGATATTGTACAAGCCAAAGGAGGTCAATGTCATGACAGGGGAACCCACAGAGATAGCTGACCTGAGCTCGTGGGAGTACATGGACTCTGGACTAAGTTAAGGAGCCTCCACGGGACCAATCTAGGCCCTCTCCATGTGTGTCACAGTTGCATAGCTTGGTCTGTTTGTGGGGCTCCTATCATGGGATCAGGACCTGTCCCTGGTACTTGATCTGTCTTTTGGGAATCCAATCCCCAAGCTTGGTTGCTTTTCCCAACCTTGATGCAGAGGGAGAATCTCAGTCCTATTTCAACTTGATGTGCCATGCTTTGTTCAAGCCTATGGGGGGCCTGCCCCTTTTTGAATGGAGACAAGGAGGAGTGGATGGGAGGGAGGAGTAGAAAAGAGGTGGGGGGATGAGAGGAGATGATGGAATGGAAACTGTGGTCAGTAAGTAAAATAAATGAAAAAAATTAATTATAAAAAGGTGGGAGGCCAGGCAGTGGTGGTACGTGCCTTTAATCCCAGCACTACAGAGGCAGATGGATCTTCGTGAGTTCAAGGCCAGCCTGGTCAACAAAGTAAGTTACAGGACAGGCTCCATAGCTACGTAGAGAAACTGAGTCTGGAAAAAAAGAAAAATGGAGGGGTGGTCACTCAGTGTAGTTTTCTTGAGGTTTAAATAGGCAGAACAACTGTCTAGCCACTTTCTGGCAGTTTAAATTACTGTGAAAAAGAAGCAGTAAATTAATGAAGACAGAGTATTTTCTCTTCATAATGTAGACTTGATAACTAAGGTTTGAAATCAGTATGGCAGTGCCTCAGGAAAATGAGAATCAGTCTACCTCAAGATCCAGCAATTCCTCTCTTGGGCATATACTGAAACGATGCACATTCATACAGCAAGGACATCTGTTCAACCATGTTCACAGCAGCATTATTTGTAATAGCCAGAACCTAGAAGCAACCTAGATGCCCGTCAACTGAAGAATGGATAAAAAAAAGTAGTACATTTACACAATGGAGTAGTACTCAGTGGGAAAAAAAAATGGAATTGTGAAATTCGCAGGAAAATGGATGGAACTAAAAGTAACCATCCTTGGGGCTGGAGAGATGGCTTAGTGGTTAAGAGCAGTGGCTGCTCTTCCAGAGGACCCGGGTTCTATTCCCAGCACCCACATGGTAGGTCACACCTCTCTGTAACTCCAGTACCAGGGGATATTGTATCCTTACACCAATGCACATAAAATAAAGTTAAATAAAGTATTTTTTAAAAAAGTAACCATCCTGAGTGAGGTAAACCAGTCACAAAAAGACAAACATGGTATGTACTCACTCATATATAGATTTTAGACATACAGCAAAGGATTACCAGTCTACAATCCACACCAAAGGGTCTCTTGGCTACAGGCCATACTCCATTGCTGAGAGAAGCCAGGGTGGAGCTCTATGCAGGAACCCGTGTGGCTGCTCTTGGCCAGCACTAAGTCCGAGTATTGGGCAAAAGCCTGGAGATGTGGATGAACCACAAGACTCCTGAACCTTTTCTGAGAGAATGTCTCTCACCTTTATTGTAGAGCAGCCTTATATACAAACTTACAAAAACCCAAGGTCAAAGGGTTCACAACAGGTTATTGATCCCAGTGGGGTGAGGTCAGGAAAACAGGAGGTACCTGTGGTTATGCTGGAAAACAACTCTTAGAGACCCCATGGAGGCTGGGTTCTAATATCTCCCCCTTCTTTATATATATAACCAAACAGTTATCAAGTAAGAACTATAAGATTTTAACCATTCTTAGTGTGTTACTATAACTATCTATCTTCAACTCCATCAAAGACCATAGAAGGATAATATATAAACTCTAGAACTGACAGAGACACCTTGCTTCCTAGACAGTCACCCAAAGTTTCTTCGTAATATTGGGGCATCCATCTTTAGCCTACAGGCCACAATGTGTCTGGCAGACTTTTCAGCAAAGCAGGAAATTCTAAACTGTCCACCTGCATTGGCATTTTGTCTGTCATCTTTTTTTTGTGTCCTGTAGAATGTCTGTCAGACTCTTTCATGAAGCAGGGAATTCTAAACTGTCTTGCATCCCTTCACCCTCCATAGAAATATAAGCAGAAATTCCCCCCCCCCAACAAAACTGAATCTTAAAAACTACT